CATGTCATAACCGAGATCTGGGCGAGCAACTCATGTCATGTTTAGTGGTATCAGGATAGGATTCAACTTATAATAACATACCGGTCTGAGTTACGATTTGCAATGCAATACCAGTCAGGTATCGCGTGTCCTTGCATTGCCAGCGTTCGCCATCTGTTAGGCGCTTGCCTGGCAACTCATCCCTGATCTATAACCGATTTTTTGCTGATGACATGGGCGCCTAAAGTAGGTAAACCATCGGCTGCTTACTCTTTGATACATGCCCTCTTACTGCTCTTTGTTACGCACCCTCATAACCTTATTCTTAGCCTTACCCTTTACTATATATCTGCCGCTGCATATTCCTGATCCTAATGAACTGGTACCAAAAGTAAGTTCACGTTCAAGATTAGGATTCGGGTCCGTGTTGGCCGGGTGGATGTGGCATGTTAGGGACATGGGCGTACGTCGGTCGGCGCCCACGACACTCTTCAAGGTTGGGTTTGTGTACTCACGGTGGCAGGTGATGAGCGAGCTGCCGCCTCGCGGCCTGCAGCACGCGCTGTCTGAGGTGTGGAAGAACGCGAGGAATGCTGCTCTTCAAGTTTAGCGCGGAGAGCGCTTAACGCGATCTGAAATTGGCGCTGGATATATTGGTTGCTGTCATGTTGCTGATCTCGCAGGCGCAATTAATTCAACAAAAGATGACACCGCCTCGTCAGGTGCATACGTGTACTGGGACCGTAACTCATCTCATTTTCGTTCTTATAAGGGCCTAGTGGGTCGGCGGTGAGTATGCCACTAACCAATAAGTACCCCACCGCGCACAATGATCATCACCGACCTGTTGGAAGGGAGGACATTTCAGGGATGTGTTCTCATACTGTTACTAACATGTGCAGGGTATACTTTTGTTAATGTCGTCTACAACATCTACTTTCATCCTTTGGCGAAATATCCTGGGCCGAGGCTGGCGGCCGCCTCGGGATGGTGGAGGGTTTACATTGAGGCATACAAGAAAGAGAGCATCATAGATCGTCTCTTCAAGCTGCATGAAGAATATGGTCAGTGAACGCACATATTTTTCCGACTTACACCTCGTTAACTCGTGATCAGGTGGCATCGTACGAATCGCACCTGATGAGGTCTCGTCCAGAGTTTTCTGCATCCGAAACTTGCATGCTGACTCGAGACTGCGCAGCTTCATTTCAGCGATCCTGCGATGTACAGCGAAATATACAGCCCGCGGTCGCGCTGGGATGAGGACGCGATGATGTATCCACACTTTGGTGAGGAGGCCTCGACGTTCACAACGCTCGAGTACCGCGAGGCAAAACGGCGCAAAGATCTCGTCGCCCCGCACTTCTCGCGTAAGTCGATCCTGAGCCTTCAGACGGTCGTCCAAGAGGGCGTGAGTCTCCACACGTCGTTCCCTGTTTGTAGCTAGTGCTGACACTGTGGCTTGCAATGTAGATCGACGAACTCTGCGAGATCATTGCTTCGCGCGCCGCGGAGGGCAAGACCACAGACTTCTTCCGCGCCTTCCGCTGCGTCAACTTCGACAATGTGACGTCCTTCTGCCTCGGCTGGTCGATGCATATACTGCGCGCGTTGGACTTTCGCGCGCAGGCCCTCGAGCGGATGCATCAAAGAAACGCCGATTTCCACTTCTGGAAGCACCATCCGCTGCTCAGAGCACTGGCAATGTTTATGGTGCGCGTGAAACTTGTTTTGATGCGGCGGAGGGAGCCGAAGGGATACTTTCGGGTGTATAAGGTAGGCTACGCAGTGATGCAC